TGCAGATTGATTTTTTTTTAAGCATTTGGCGATCGGATTTATATTGCATAGTGCTCAGAAAGGCCTGGTTACTGAGGAAAGGAAAAAGTGTCATAGTTAGACAAAGCCTTGGAATCCAGGTTTGATTATCTGTTTGTTTTCATAGTTTCATTTATGTTTCCATCCCATTCAGTTTTCTCAATCCACAATTATATAAGCAAACTTCATATAAAACTATACTGAACTTAATGAAATTCAGTTATAACCTAATATATTTGATAGAAGTTATAATTACAAATAGTAAAAAAATAAGGGAAAGCCTCCAAATCTCAGAAATAATTTATATAGCCAACAGAATATTTTCTAAACATGGAAAAATCGTAGAATATGTAAACATTGTTAGAAAGGTAGTATGTGGTTTCTTATGAAGAGTGGGGTTTTGTAAGAAATGAAAATAACTGTTAAGACTGTGCTCCTGCCACTTTTTTATGTGAGAGTTGAGTGTCAGTAGTTAGAAATGAGTATTTGTATAGAGTGGTGATTTCAGTCAAGTCCCAAAATAGGATGAAAGATTTACAAATTTGTTTCTAATTATTAGGCGCCCAAGAAAACATTACTCTAACATACTTCTCCCTTTATCCCAAAGATCTCTCCTGCAATTTTTCATTTTTCCAAATAGTTCTTTGCACAATTTTGCTAGTGAATTAATCAGAATTATCAGTCAAACTCTCCTCCCATTTCTGATACAGAATAAAATGAGGCTGGGGAATGCAGAAAAGCAATGCAAAGGTGGGAAATAAAGAGGAGGTTGAAATTGTTCTCTTGTCTAGCCTGTCAGTCAATTTATACAGCCAACCTTCCTGTTTTTCTGCAAAATCAGCAATTGAAATAAAATGGACGCATCTTGTTGACTTAGAGGAATTTGGAAAAAAACCTTTCTCAGGATAAGGGTGGGAGCGGTGCCTATGAAGGACAGCATTGGGGGGGGGGAGCAAAACACGGAAGAGGATTAGCTGCACTCGGCTTGGAGAAAGTCCAGCAGCACTAGACAAAGACTGAAAATTATTTTGCCAGCTCTCCTTTAGTCCAACATCTGTAATATTCATGGGATGAGATGAGAAGAGAAAATATTCGTAAAAATCTACTTTGTGTCTTTGTTTGCTTTATTTAGCAGCTTGCCCATCAAACATGTATACTACTGGCGTAAATATATGGTTAAAGATTGCCACATTGTGTTCCTTAAAGACATATACACACTTTAACTTCTTTATCTTTCTAAATGCAAAATGTATTGACAGAAATGTGTGTCAAAGAAGACTACCACGTTCAATGTTTTTAATGTTTATATTCAATAAAAAAAATTTTTTTTTAAAAAAAGACATGTATATACTTGAGAAAACAATAATGTCCAGTCCATCCTGAATATCATCACTTTAACAATAAATTTCTACAATGACATCCTATTTCATTATATGTTCAAAACATGAAACTATCAGTAAAATGAATGAATTAGCATGAAAAATAGAAAATAGGGAAAAATTGACTACCAGAATCTAGACTCGCCTTCCCAGAATGATATTTAATGTATTGAACTTTATTTTCTATTATCCCTACTTTAAGTATACTATATAATTATTTGGAATTTCAGCTGAGGTGTATATCAAGCAGTTATAGAAAAGTTTTAAAACATACTGTTAAGGAATTACAATATTACAGAAGTTTGTTGCAGTGCAACAATTCTTTTAAAGTTCTAAAATGGAACTGACCAAACAAAGAAAGTGAAAGAAAAATAAATAGGTAGAAATTTTGATCTTAATGAACCCATTCTTTTTCTTATTATTCCTGGATTCATTTGTTTAGCAATAGAAAAAGTGATCTTGAAAAAGGTTGAGTAGGGTCAAATCTACTTTGGAAAATCTAGCATGGAAAACCACCAGGAAATTTCAAGGTGTTCCACTTCGTATTGCTGCCAAGAAAGCCATTTTGTTGTATCTATCTAGGCAGAGGAAACAAACTCTGGTCAAAGGAGACTTTGGCTAAAATCTGTAGCTTAAATCAGATATTACTCTAAGGTATTCAGACCTCTACGAGAAACTAATGCCTGTTTGTTCTTTAGATGATGATATAGTTCTATTGTTATGCAGGTCCTAGTATTCAGCAGTTGCAGGAAGTGGCATCTGGAAGTTCTGTCACAATGGTGTATATATTATAGTCTACTTCCCTTAAGTTGTTAGAACAGAGTGATACAGATATTCTAATATGTTATGTCCCATGTTTTACATGACTTTCACCTTTATTTTTACACAATGTATATTCTGTGTGGTATTTTCAAATACACTGACCACTACGAGATACCATGTGTATATAGTGCACTGACTGTAGTCATATAAAGTTTGAAGGTCCATAAATTCAATTTCTGGTAAAGGGCTTGAACCCTATAAATAATACCTAATTACCTAAGTTTAAAGAGTCTCAATAAGGATGAAGCCAATCAATGCAACTGTAATTGTATTATGTGGGAATGGTCTCGAGAACTGGTGAGGGAAAATGCTGCCTAGGGAACAATCATATAAGAGAGAGTGTAGCCCACAACTCTGTAACAGGCAGAGAAACAAATTTTGAAATGAACCTCCCTAACAGGCGGTAGAATAATGGGTCTGTTTTACTACAATCAGGTTGTAGTTTTCAAATAAAACTATCTTAAGTAGAACAGGTAACCGAAGTGTTCATAATATAACCTTTCTCCAAAATATGACAGATACAGTCTCCACTAACAACATTACAATAATGTTACATTGGCCTAAATAAGAATTCAGAATCATTGACAAAGGTTTACACTGCATTGTTTGTAGTGCAATTGGGAGTAAATGAACAATAGCAAAACATTTTTTCTTTGGAGATCTTTTGACAGAATTAAAGAATCATAAATTATCTATCAAATTGTCAGTGATAATGAATAGGACTTAAGAAATAGTATAACAATGGTATATAGTATGGCATGGCATGACATAGCATGACATGGCACAGATGAGGTAGAACTTTCCTGCACTGACTGACCCCTATTTGGGGTAAAAAAAATCTCAAAGATCTCTTCCAAATTTACATTTTATGATCTTAGACTTCTAGGAAGCTTTAATAATCTCCCTTCAAAATGGTAAATTCATAGGTTTTTTTTATTTTATAAATACAACATGGTTGTCTAACAACTCTAGGGTGGCCACAAATAGATCTTTTTAAAAATGCTTTTATTGAAGCAATTCATCAATGAACATTGTGGGATACCTCATGTATTTCTTTTTATCATTTACCACCCACTCAAAATCTCTTGTCAATTTATAAAATATAAAACCATAAATTCTAAAAAATAAACATGAAATACATTAAAATCTGCAAAGAATATAAACTTAGAAGCTACAGTAAAACAATATAACAGTACAATACCACAACAGAAAACTAAACTTTGGTGATAATAACAAATCTGTTTGAACTATTCTGATTACAAAATGATTGTGTAATTTAAGCAGCAGATTTTCATTAAACATTCCATATTGCATGTGACTTAAAACATACAAAACATATTTGGATGCCCATATTTTTTATATTGTATACCTTTAACATAAAAATTGACAACTCAGCAACAGCAGTAGATTCTCCATTCTGTTTTAAAGAGACTTGTCCTTCATTGGACAGACAAATGTGTATCTCTCGTTACTCAGTGATCGAAGATTTGATGTTATTTGCAACTTAACTTGCTTACAAATGTAAGAAATATATATGTACTGTTACAATAAAATAAAATACAATATAACTTTAGGAGAGGCATTGCCTCAGACAGGCCTGTAAGCAGTCTGGGGCTCCTCGCGGCTCCTACTTGAAGAGCTGGTAGAAATTATGGCTAGGAGGGCCTTCACACAGCTTCGTATTGTGCACCAGTTGCAGCTGTTCCTAGATTGGAGGGATTTGCTCACTGCCACTGATGCCTTAGTCACCTCCTCATTCAAAGGTGCCTTTGACTCGCAAGATGGACGGCAAATAAATTTGATAATAATGATAATAAGAGTATTCAGAAGCTTCAGCTCTATTAAATTTTAATTTAAAGTGTCCATTTTTGAAATAGGACGCAGGTAGCCTTTGCTTAACGACCAGTCACCATTCAATATTATGACAGACTCCCTCCCCAAAGGTACTTATAGCCATTTCTGGAATTCCAACAATAACATGGTCACATGGTTGCATTTCAGGCATTTGGCAACTTGTTCACCTTTAAATCTGGTTGCAGCATTCCGCAGTGATATGATACAATTTACAACATTTTTGCTGGAAACTGGCTAAAAAACACCCCCAGGTATGGATTGACTCACTTAACAACCATGGTGTTCACTTAATGACTGCTGAAAAGAACTTGTAAAATCAAGTCAGCCATGTGGATGCCTCAACTTATAACGGTTATGAAATACAATGAGAAATCCAGGCTCATTGGTCATAAAGCAAGAATTACCTTAATAAAATCATAAAACTTAAATAGTATATTTATAATGTACAATTAAGTCCAACCATTTATTCAACATTCACTTGAATACATTTCTTTAAAACATATAAAACCAACTAAAAAATTGAATGTTGTTGCAGGAAAATATGAACACTAGCTTAATAAAGCCTGATTATATTATATTTGTAGTGTTTTATAAATGTCAAGATCCAAGTAGGTAGCAAGCAGAAACTACAGATTTCAATAAATTATCATATTTTCAACACTAATCTGAGATAAATGTAGTATTTTGGAGGCTGTATTAGAAATTTCCCAGCCTTATTGATGGTGAGTTAACTAAGGTGGGGACTCTTTGAATTCTTTTTCCCAGAATTTTCCTCATCTGGATTGAGCTGCCATTTAAAAGAGAATCTGCCCACTGTTGATTCTCCATTCCTTTCCCAGCCAATCTACCCCCACATAATAAAATAATATTTTGCTCACTTGTTGATGTATATGTGACACGACATATTTCCTGCTTGAATTCTTACAGGGTGATTTCACTTGGAACAGCATGTCAGGGCGCAGCGTTCGGCTGAAATCTGTTCCTATTCAGAGCCTTTCAGAACTGGAGCGTGCCCGACTACAGGAAGTGGCCTTCTGTCAGTTGCAGCAGGACTGTGACCTAGGATGCCAAATAACTATTCCTAAAGGTAAGAACACATCTATATGCTGAGATGCTAGCAATTAAATGAAAGTAAATCATAAGCCAATATTTTCTCTTCCTTTTTTAAAATCAAAAGATAGACATTTGCTTTATAGAGTATATACCAGCTGCCTTCATCTTTTTTATGATTATGAGTATATCATGTGAATAGTAACATAATTATGCAGATAGCATCATTTGTAGAATAATGTCATGACATCTTTACACAAATAATATACGTTATGATAGATCTCGAAATCTTAAAGTCATATGTTCAACTGATTGACCTTATTATTTGACATGCAACGGATTTGTTTATTAAGAAGATGCTTGGACAGATTTTGTTGTTCTTGCATTCTAAGTTATAATGTGGAGATCAAAATCTGTATTTTGTAGGAATTTGTCATTTCTATACTACCCCAACATTTTCTTGCAAACAGTTGGAGATCCTGAAGCTCCACATATAGGACTTTACTAGCTTGCAGTTGATCTAGTTAGCCAATTGATTAATTTTAATTCACAGATCACTAATTGAGCTCAGTTATATAAAAAGAAATTCTTTTAGAAAGATGTATCCAAAGCAAGCAGAACTATTTATCAATCAGAACCTTTATTATGCCATATTTGGTTTTGTGCCCATTATGTTTCTGTTCTGTTCTGAATACAAATGGGAATGTGCTTTTTGAGATTGTTTTGGCATAAAGTGGATTATTAAAGCTTTGTTTTTTTCTACTCTTTATGTAATTTTTTATTTTTCTTACACAGTGGATGTGATCATTTTTGTAATCTATGTTTTAGTGGAGGGTTTTGGGCATGGTACATTATTACTCTTTACTTATTCCTTGTCTGTGGACTTTATATTTAGATATTTGTAGTAGTAGAATAGAAACAATTTAATTAGAAATTTAGTAACACTTAAAAACTGTGAATTATAAATAATCTCTTAATGCATTAGACAGCAGTTTTAGAAAACAGAAGTCCTTGTCATTAAAAATATATAAATAATATAATATAAATAATAACATCATAAAATGGGGGAGGAATCTAAAAATGATACAGAAAGCATCTTTAATCAGCCAACTCAAGTTTAAAAAATATTTGCAAATTTTTGTGCATTAACTTCACAGAGCTTTATGCAAAACTCTAGGCTATCATTAAAATAGATGGATTTTGAATCTATTTTTTGCTGTTTACTATTCATTTAGAGTTTTCCATCTGAGATCTGGTAGGTCTATACTAGGCTCTGTTGTCAAGTGGACTGATGGGAAATCAACAGACATGTAAATGTGTTTTTATCAAGTAACTATGTATTAGTAACAATAAAATCTTTACTTGACTTTCTTAGAACTAAGCAAATTTTCACTTCCAAAAATACAAAATCCAGTAGATAAAGTCAAAATAAATTTCCACAGTCTATTGTACAACTCTGGTTGCTGAAAAAAAAAATAAGAAAAATAATTAAACGATCTTTGAATATATTTTATTAAGAATTTAATTACGATAGTGAAAATTAACACAAACTAATTTTAGAAAATGGAAAATAAGAATAAAAAGTACAGGAAAAAAGAAAAAGAAAATAAAGAATGTAATACCCATATAAAGAAATGACTTCCAACCTGCATTTCAACAAGCATATTTATACAAATTTAATAACTCTTTCCCTCCTGTAAGATTATAAACAGATATCTCTTCATTCCTTATCCCATGCCTTATCTGTAAGCAAATTCATAAAGCATTTTCGATCCTGGTATCAGCAAAAAGTCCATAAAGCCCCAGACCTTTGCAAAACAAATGTCCTCTTTTAACTTTAATCAAATAAACCAATTTTGTATTCCTTCATTATTCCTTCTAACAATTTTTAATTCACTGAAACATTGTAGGATATGAATTCTCTTCAATTCTTTTTTACCCCATTCTATATATTTCTTTAAGACTTTAACAAGTCTCTTTAGTAGATCTGATAAGAATTTTTTTCTTGGATGTTCTCTTTGTTTAATATTTGAATTTTCCTTTTAATTTTTAAAACAACTAGTTTACTTTCTATATCCAGCAAAGTGTCCTTTTCCAAATCATTCTCTTGCTGTGTCAATTGCAGTTTCTTTTTTAGTACTTTCTGCCATGTCAGATAAAATTTGTTCCACATCTGTCATTTCTTCTTACCATCTTTCAAAGTTAACTAGAAGTAGCATGTATTGAATTTGAAATTTTCTGCACTTTATAGATAGTCTTTGACTTAATGATCAGTCATTTAACAATGGTTCAAAGTTATGATGGCCACAGAAAGATTGCTTTACAGCAGGGGTGTCCAACCTTGGCAACTTTAAGAGTTGTGGACTTCAACTCCCAGAATTCCTCAGCCAGCTTTGCTGGCTGA